CCCCAAAACCCCAAAACCCCAAAACCCCATGAGATGAAGATCAGGGGAGTTAGACAAATTAAAATTGATGAGATGATAAAGTTAAGATTCGATCTATTGAAGATTATTTAAACCCAAAATTTATGATAAAAGATATACTAACTTATACAGATAATAATAATTAACTAAAATCAATTAACCATGAGCCATATGATCTAAAATAAGAAAGTTGAACTCTCGAAGGTCCAGCGCTTCGACATCACTAAGATTGAATTCTTGGACAAGCTAGGAGAAGGTAGGTTAACAGTGAATACATATTTTGTCATGATAATCATTTAAACTTACATTTAATTAGGGGCTTTTGGCAAGGTTAAGCTTGGCCGCCGACTCAAGCAAGAACTTGATTACTCCACTGACGAGGAAAGCACTGAGGATGATAGATCAGGAGGAGCCAACAGCAATAAATCCAGTCCCTTAGTGTCAAGGAAGGAATCTGGCTAAGACAAACTGACACCTCAAAGGAAGTAATCTCAAGGGCAAGAGGTTTAATTTTTTGCCATCAAAATACTCTCGAAGAGTGCACTCATCAAAGCCAAGCAAGTTGACCATGTTTTCAATGAGATGACTCTCCAGCAGCAACTAAGACACCCTTTCATTGTAATTACATCAAGCTCTAATCATATTTCTCTAGGTCAACATGGAAGGAATACAGTAAGACAGCAGATCTCTTTACATCATGATGGAGTATGTAGAAGGAGGCGAGCTTTTCAAGCTTGTGTAAAAATTCGGTCGTCTAGACTCAGGACTAGCAAAGTTTTACTCAGCTCAAATCATTCTATGCTTCGAGTACCTCCACAGTAAGCAGCTGATCTACCGTGACTTAAAGCCAGAGAACGTCCTGATTCATCAATCAGGCTATTTGAAACTCTCAGACTTCGGGTTCATCAAGTACCTCAAACCAGGTGAGAGAACCTATACTCTATGTGGCACTCCTGAGTATTTGGCCCCAGAGATTATTCTAAACAAGGGACATGGCAAGGCTGTAGACTGGTATTGCTTGGGTATATTCATCTATGAGATGCTTGTAGGTCGTTGCCCTTTCATGCATGAAGACCCTTATGAGATCTTCAAAATGATAATCTCATAGAAGATTCGATTCCCAAGGAACTTTGACTCAGGAGCCAAGAGCATCATCAGGCATCTGACAGACCATGATCTCTCTAAGCGATATGGCAACTTGCGCCACGGCTCGGAGGACATCAAGAATCACAGATTCTACTCTGATGTCAACTTCTATAATATAATTACAATGGCTGTGAGACCTAGTTATGTTCCTCAAGAGAACTCTTAGAAGAAGAGAATGCTTGTGAAGCAGCCTGGCTAATACTACAAGATGCTTGAAGAGAATCTTGATGACATTAACTCACCTCCAGTAACTGGCAAGGATGACCCTTTCAAAGAATGGTTCTGAAAGGCTTCATCAAAACAAGCTGCTATACTATCATTTATATTGATAATTTTGACAATTTAATATTTTAACTTCTTGTGAAACAAATTTCATACATTTATTCATTTATATATCTCATTTTATTTATACCTCATTCGCAGACTCCAAACTCTTCAATAATTAAGCGTAGCCTTTTCATCAATTTTCTACTATGCTAAGGTTATTTGATATCTAAGTTCAGCCACATGTTTAGCCTGAGCCTACGATTTAAGTTGCTGCTCCCTCTCTAAGTTGAAAGCCTTGTTTTATAAGTATCTCAGTTGAGTGTCCAGTCCCTCCTTCTCCTTGTTCCATTCTCCGTACCCATAAGAGTCGAAGTTTGAGGTACTTCTATAGAATTTATTCTGCTTATTTTTCAATGGCCCCAGAGCATCAAGCTACTTAGTAGTCTCTTAAATCATAGTCAGTAACTCATCCTCGTATTTCCTTAATCTGGTCACCTCCTCGCTGTACTCCTTTACTTCTTCATCTTAGATTTTTAATAAGTACTCTCTTGGAAGCTGGCCATCGTTCATTTTCATTAGTAGCTTGAGCTATTTAAGTCTTTCCATTAACCTCTCCCTTTTATATCTGAAGTCATTCAGTCTTATATCAAGTTCCTTTGATTACTAAGGACCATCTTTAACCTATGCTTTTACTGAATGAGCAAGATTTTATATAATCTCTTCCTGACTCAAAATCGTTTCTTTTTAAGCTTTAATTCTATTTGCTAGGTCTTTATATCTAGCCAAATGAAATTCCAAATCTTCACTTGCTCTCTATACCTCTTCTATTTATGTTTTGAGCTTCTTAATTTGCTATAGCGACGGCTCAATCTTGAAATACTCTTTCTCTAGAGCATCGTAACGCTTTCTTTCAAGTTCAAATCGATTCATTAGTTTAACATATCTCTCCTTCAAAGTGTTGATTCCCTAAGGTGTCTAAGCCAAAACGTCTATTTCTATATGAACTTCATCTACATTCTAGAGATAGTCGATTCTCTTGTTCATTTTATCATTCTCAGACTAGTCACAATTTACTTTTAACAATAAATACTTACAATAAGATCATCATTTGTTTTTCTCAAGTAAGTAAGATCAACTGCCAGAGTCCTTAAAGCAGCATTCCTTTAATCCATCTGTTTCATCTTTGTCTCCATTACATCATGCTTTTTCATAACTAAGCCTTAAACTTTCTCTAAGTTCTATCCATAATCAGTTATAATTCCATCAGTTAATTACCTTTTAGATCTCGTATTCATTTGAGTTGAAAGGATCATAGTATACCTTTTCTATCTCTCTGTTGTCCTCGTAGATTTAATCTTCAAAGTTATCTATTCTAAGCTTGAATACCAGATTTAAGTGTCCCATCTCCTTAACGCTGTCCTAATCATAGAGACTCATATCTTTTTCTAGGACCTTATCTTTCCTCAACATAGTTATAAAATTTTAGGACAGAACATATGATCCTGAAGCATAGAGCTTAGAATTTTTCTACATTTAGGCTATTAATAAGAATTAGATTACCAATAGTGAACCAGTGTCATTTACATCTATGTCAGGTGCAGCTGAAAAGCATCCAAATTTAATAACCAGTCTGTTACCTAGTGATAAATTGTCAAACTTAAATATGTTCTTCTGAAATCTCAAGTATTCTGTGTAATGGGCAAGGTCAGTTCTGAATTTCTGTGAAGTTTTTTACTTATCAGGATATTCTATTTCATCTAATTGGGCTACTATGAAGTAATTTAGCTTGTCTCGCACCTGGCAAGATTTTATGTAAACAGTCAAAGTTGACATTTTTTGGGTAGCGATTGTAGAAATAGATAAAAGTAATCTTGTGAAGTAAATTCTACTCCAATTTAAATTGCAATATAAATAATTATAATTCTTTCAAGTAATAATTAAAAAATCATCGCAAATATGTCAGGAGAGTTAGGAGAGGTAGAAATTAAACTAAACGAACTAGTGGAAGAGGTCTTTAAAACCTATCCAAATTAGACTGATGAGAATGGAGACATCCTTCTTACTAAAGAAGACATCAAAGACTTTATCAGATAGACCATGGAAAAAGCCAATGAGGGTGATGCTTGGGATGATACTGAATTTGAAGCTTGTTACAGAGAATTTGACTATGATGGTAATGGCACTATCAGTAAATAGGAGCTAACTCAATTCATTAAAAGATTTGCAGCACTATGACTGGTTAAATGTTTAAATAAATATTATGTTTCCCTTGTTGTTATTTCCTGCATAAGCTATATAATTCACCACTATATCTTTCTCACTTGCTTATATTCTTGCCAAGATTTATATCATCACAATACATAGATTTATATGTTACTCAATATTTCAATCAGTTTCTTCTGCTTAACGGGGTTTTGGGGTTTTGGGGTTTTGGGGTTTTGGGG